GATGTGGATTTAAACATTCAGCAGGGTAGCAGTTCTATTAGCCTTAAGGGCTTTTCTTGTTACTGACTCAAGATGCTGATGGCCACAAGAGGCTGTCATGGCGCCTGGCAACTGTGGGAATACATTCTTTTCCCAAACATATTGCTTTTCCAGAGCCCACTGCTTAGAGATAAGGGACAGTAAAGGAACTCCTCCCTGTCACTTGAAGATGCCATAGCATGGAGAATTCTCATGTAGCCAATAAGTTTGGTTAAGGGCTCTTTTGCAACTGATTCTGTAAGCAAATCCAAATTCACAGCAGCATAAATGAGATCAGAGTAGGCCCAAATTGTAAATACAACACAACAATAGGTTTCATACTGATACCTTGGTTAGGTGAGCTGACAATGGATGCATTTTTTACATTTTTGGGAATTTGGGATTTCCTTCTTCATTCAGTTCTTCGTTATGAGAATAGGTTCAGATTCAGCAGTTATGGTCAGCAACCCTTGTAGTCACACTAATTAAATCCCTAATATAGATGTGGAAAGCTGTGATTTGCATTGGTGAGGAGTTACTTATGCTCAAAATTAGGGTAAACTGCATTCACATTAATTATTATCTTCCTTGCTGGCACTGGTACACAGCTGCTCTGAGTGATCAAGTTGAAGCTAATCCCCAGGATAGATAAAAGCACTATGTTAAAAGAAAACTGGGGAGCTATGCCAGTATGTTATCACTTTGGGTAAGTAGTTCAATCTTTGCCAACAGATTGCGGTCTACTCCCTCCATCCATTTCTTAAGATGCACTCCAGGATGGATTATTGTTATTACCACAACCAGCTTACGTGGAAATGCCAAGCACAGAGTTTACTTTGGAGAAAACATTGTATGTTATGTCCACAACCATTTTTCATATCATAGTATTTCTTTATTTCAGTTGTTGAAAATAGGAATAGGTACACTATTAGCATGTACAGCTGGAGTATTTTGAAATTACATCTGTTGTTGTTTTCCTTCTTGAAGTCCTGACTTGAATCATGTTACCCAGAAGCAACCTTTCTCTAAGTGTTTTTGGACTGCTTTTTCCCTTGCTCATCTGATTTCTGTTTCTTTACATTTTTTTCAGTATGAGACTTTATTTTAATAATTTTTCAGCTTCTTATTTTTGGTGCCTTCTCATGTTTTTACAGAATTATAATCGACCTCCAATAATGGCTTTAGCTGTCCCAGTGGCAGTAAGATTTCTCCAGAGGGGTAACAAGGAACTGTGTAGGAACATGTCAAGTTATCTGTCCTTGGCTGCAATTAGCAACGTTGACCTGCTGATTGATCACACAGATGCAATTGTGAAAAGTGTCCTTCAAGGTATGAAAGCTTTCCTGTTGTAGGCTGAATCCTGGAAGACCCCCTCAAATAGCTATCTCTGGTCCAGTAGTCTGTGCTATCGGCATATACTGTTTAAGCCTTAATGATTAGGAGTATTTGTTGTGGGTTACAACATCTTTATGGCAAGAATTGTATCTTTCCGTGTTCATGAACATGGCATGCCAGCCATTAAGGTGCCAGTGGACTGTAGATAATAAACAGCAATGTGAGACATCATTGTACTTCCTGGCATTTTCCTTCACATGTATTCAGAGAGAAGTTAGCCATGTCAGTCTGAACTCAGGCAGAAGGCAGGGGCAAGGTGACACCTTAGGGTACCTGTACACATGTGGGACACCTGCTGTACTTGACCAGATTCAATTATTCCAGCAGACTCAATCAAGTCTGCTGGAGCATTCTAATTAAACAATCCCGCAGCTTCACTGTCACATGTATTCAGCGTCCCCACATTTCAAAATGGTGGTGCGGGTGCTTTAACTAAAGCTTGTTGAATGAGCTCTACTTAAAACATACCTACTGCCATTTTGAAATGTGAGATGCTGAATACATGAGACGCTGTAGGCATTTTAATTAGAGTGGCTCCTGAGAGCCACTCTAATTAAAATTCTCCCTTATCCCCACCCCGGAGCATGTGTCTGGATGCCCATAGAGATTGGACCATTTATGAATTAATTAGTTTCTAAGGTGTCGCCCTGCCCTGCCTTCTGCCTTCTGCCTTCCCATTTATGGCAGGGGTAAAATTCTATTGATTTCAGTTGAAACAGACTCTGGCCCATTCCATGATAAAGAGTCAGAGAGAAATTTTCAAGGAATAGCAATAGTGTTTTATTCCCATCGATGTTATTAGTTGGATATGAATTTTGTTGCTAAATTGTTGAAATAACAACAAATAATTTTTGTTGCTAAATGTTCAAATCTTATTCTTAATACTTTTAAAGTATTAATACTTAATACTTTTAAATATTATGGTAATGTTATCACAATCTTTAAAAAGTGGAGTGCAGGTTATTTGAAATCAGTTACCATACTTTGCTACATGGCTTTGCTTTCCAAGGCAAGGTGGATACCAGTGAGTGACAAGAGCTGGACTGATCACTGCAGGAATGTTGTTTTGAAGATGAGAAATCTTAAAACCATCTTAAAATCTAATTCTGTATTTTTTTTTTAAAATTGGGATATATTTATTTTATGGTATTAGATATGGGAATAGTTAAAGTACATGGCAGCTTGTTCCTTATTTCATTTCATACAAATCATACCAGATCAACAAGACAGGTAAAAACTATAGGAAGAATGTCCTCCTTCCTACCTGCAGATAGTATCCAGAACAGATTCTCACACATTTTACAGTAATATTCCTGAAATACCAGTGGACTAGATTTGTGAACAGATAGCTTCTTTGTGCACGGATCTCCCCTTTTCTCTTGTAGAAAGGGAGTGCTCTCTCTGCTAACTCAGGACTCATAGAGAGAGCAGGGTGAGAGGGGAGCTGGAGCAGGGAAGCTGGTCAGATAGCAAGGTAAAATTTAAACTGATGAACAGAACTCAATATTCTGTTTTTTCTTTTTATGAGTTGTGTTGTGAGATAAGTATAAGCCATGTAACAGTATTAAATAAAATCCAAGTGAAAGAATATTGTTGAGAAATGTTTGTCTGGCTCAGGAAATCTAAGACCAGTATCATTAGCATTTATTAAGATTTTAGCCTCTGTATTAACATTTGGGAAAATAGCATTATTAATAGAACACAACAGAATGGAATGAGAAGAGGCCCCTAAGATACAATCCCAGATATATAGAGAGAATGATATATTTAAAAGCTTGCAATTGATTTCATGCCTCACTGTGATTATTCCTGCATTTCTAGTAATCCACCAGCAGATGTTGCTATGGACATCAGAGATGAAAATTGTAGATTAAAAAATGTCACTGTACAGAACTGAAATATTCCTGTGTTTTGCACACCGGTCTCTTGGCTAGTTTTAGTTCACATAAATTGCAGTTCTGTCATGAAAGGATTTGTTTCAATATGCTGCCAAGATCCATGATTCAGAACTACGATAGCTCATTGGGGAATCTTAGCTATAAGTGTGCAAGAATAAATGGAAATAAGGGGCCTTATTCTGGTCTCATTCAGACTGGGATGGCTCCAGAGAGATCAATGAGGTTGCACTGGTGAAACTAATAGCAGAATTTGGCCAAGTGCCTAGTAGACTTTATGCACTTGATGGATTTATGGGCATGGTACCTACTTTGGGCAAATGTTGGATTGCATTATTTATTTCTCATCTTATTAGCCATAAAAATGCCATTTAGGAAGAATGTTTAACAAATGTGTTGTGCCAAGCATTTAGAGATCACTAATGAGAGTAGTCAGTTTCCAACATGAAATGTCCATATCCTATACACAGTATTGACAAATAGACTGCGGAGTTTCGTGAGGGTGATGGCAGAAATGGAACCCTTCTATTTCCATGTGCCTTTCCATGCCCTCAGAGCTCTAGGCCTGCTGGGTCCTTGGGAAGAGTTTGACCATTTAATTGATGTTGCTGCAGAACCACAGGACCTGCCCTCCTGGGCTGAAAAGCTTATTTCGTAGAGTGAAGGAGAGCCTAAGAATACAGTCCACTAGTCTGCTAAAGAGCTGCATGACCTTGATGGTCTCAATAAATTCCATGCTGATGCCTGTATGTAGTAAAGCCATGCTGGCTCTACCACACCCAGAACCTTCAGCATCTCTGGTCACACTTATGGGGTATTTGCATTATAGAACATGGATGTTTTACTAACAGATATTGTATAACCTATCCCATAAGCAAACCACATTAAATACCATTAAAGGTAGGAAGGGATGCATAGACCTGAATGCAAGAAATTCCAAAATGACTCACACAATCTTAATCTGTTTCTTGTGCAATGCTTTATGGTACAGCCTTGTGTTATATGATCATGCACTATAAATTCCACAGGGCCCAGTCTCATTCAGTGCACAGGTCATGATACAAATGAAGTAGGTCAGGTTACATATGAAGGGTCTGCAAGGGTAGATGAGACATTTTTGGGCTTGGGTGAGAAGTTTTTGGCACATAACAGGAGGAAGGCGAGGCTGCGGGAAAGGTTCCATTTTACTCAGGGAGAAAGGGAGAGGGGTTTCCCATAAAGTGTGAGTTACAGATCAAAGGATCCTGATCATTGGCAGGATTAAAGCTTGTGTGGTTGTAAGTAAACATCTAGATAAAAACCCTGGTATTTTAGATACTAGGTGCAGAAAGAAGACAGAGAAGGGATTTTCAATTTTGGAGGGTTTTTTTGTTCCAGTATATTTCATGTACAGTTATTTGGATGTAATGGATTGCTGTATATAGGAAAGGATATGAGAGAGCTGTTGGCTTTGTGCAGTTTTACTCGGAGGTCTGGGGTTCCCTTGGATGAGGAGATCTGGAACCAATGAACTGGTAAAGCCTTTGATCTGGGACTCAGTTTTTCCCATATAACAAAGGTTATTTGTGAAAATTAATAAATTACTGTGTGGTATTGATGACATGGGGTATTCACAGAATAGTGGACTGATAGTTTTAGAAGTTTCTCCAGCTTGAGACACCCCCTGCTTCCTCCCCTTTACTAATTATAAATTGTACAACTCAAACTGGACTCACATTTTTAGGGGAAATGGTCTGCCTCTTTAAGGGCAGCTCTGTTCATAGGGGCCAAGGGTTGGAGAAATGATGACTCCATTCCCAAGATACCATTTAGGTTTTGAATAGCCCAATGTTTAGCACAGCCACTGGGTGCTCATTATTTCAATCCCCTGTAGATCAGGCCATTCTCATGAGTTATACATTATTTCTCATAGCAAAAAAACCCCAAAGCAATGGGGGAAAATCCCAAAGCTGTGTTTCTCTTCATGAAAAATTGTAGGAGGGATCAGTTTGATAAAGTATTTTTATTTACAATACAACTTTACAAAAATAATTTTAATAAAATAATTACAAATCAATTTACAATATAATACAGATGGATCTTAACAGGTAACATTAGGTTATAATTGAGAACACTACTTTTATATGTTAAATCAATCCATAGGATAAATAATGTTTTAGACAAAGCACTAGTGTTATGGTAGTCTACAAATCAGTAACAAAAAGCAGTAAACAGCAAACATCATTTCATGACTTATAGGATTCATCTGTAGGATTCACATTAGTAACATAAAAACAACAAATCAGAACCCTGCCCCCCCCAACAGCCTTATGTGTGTTCTACAGAAAAGAGTTCCATCCATTTACTGTGTTGAATTTAGGAAGGATTATAAGAGCTAAATCCTGCCCCAACATGTCCACAGGTGACTCACATTGTCTATGAGCCTGAAAACACTAAGCTAGAATGACAGCAGTCTGTCTGTGCTCAGGAATGGCTTTTCCAATAACATTCTGATGTGTTTTTTCAGTATTTTGACAAGACAGCAAACAGAGATCAAATCCAACCTCCACAGTCCCTCATCTGTAGTCTTACAATGCTAATTTTTCTTGAGATTTTAGATGCTCAGGTTCATTAGGCTCTCCTGTGTTTGTACATTGTTAAGAACATTTGTGTTTGTACATTGTTGTTAGGAACATTCTTCTTAAGAACATTTAAGCTATAGTTCAGGATGCTGGTTTTCAGACTTTATTAAATGTATTGAGCTCCTCCGTGGGGCAAAACCTCTGTAACTCCCCACCCAACAACATTGCCCCTGATATTACATGAATCTTCTCCTGTAGTCTGTTTTATCTCTTCATCACTGAGAACCCTGTCCCAGATATTAAAGCCAGTTAGTTTTCCTGAAAAGGCTAAAGTTTCATCAAAACCCCCTCCCACACAGCACCCATTCTTTTCTTGGCCAATCTGCAAAATTCCTCCATCTGGAATTATATGTGAAGTTGCTATGTCTGATGTGGAAGCCACAAGATCTCCATGTAACCACAATGATGTGGTCCCTTTCTCTGAGCTCCAGGTGCCACAAAGATGAACCCACTGTCCAGCAGAAACTGTGTTCTGGGTAATTAACTTGTCCTGGTCACTACCCACAGCAAGAACTGCAGCCTCATGGCTCAGGTAGAGTTGAATTTCATATGGATTCTTCTTTGTCCCATAGGAGAATACAATGGTTTTGTTCAGCATTTCTGTCACTTTGACCCAAACGCAGATAGTAAAGGAATGGAGTGTCATTGCAACAGTTGGATGAACACTCCCAAAAATCTTTTTGGAACGCATTGGGAATAAAATTGCTGTTTCACATCCTGCAAAAGAAACACAATTAAAAAGATAATTCTATACCAATTAATTTTTTTTGTAAAATCTTACATATACCTGATTATAAACTAATTTATGGCATTTTGAAGAGGAGTAGGGCATTTAACTCATTTAGTAGGATTTGGGTCCTATTTCTTGAAAATTTGACTCTTTCACTTGAATGCTTTGGAAGGTTTTACCCAATATTCTGAACCTCAGGATTTACATTGACATAACTGAAGAGAATCTGATTTATAGTAGGTTTTCCTCTCTTGCAATTAAATTCAGATGCTGATTAGTTCCCAAGTGAAAGTGATCTTGATGTTCTTATTCTAGTTCCTTTCTGAGTGTCTGTCTAAATCCTCTGTTTCAGGGATCTGTTTTGTATCTGTGTTGGTCTGAGACAAAGAGAAATACAAAACTCTAAAGAAAGATTTTATTTTGTGATTCATAAGAGGTATCATTTAATAAAAGGTATCATTTCTGAACCAAGTTTTAGGGTTTTGTATTTATTCACATGCTCACATTTTCCCACAATTTGCCACCAGAGGTTTTTATTACTGGAAAGAACTGGAACAATGGGTAATAAAAGGTGATAGTAAGAAACATTGACAAAACTGTTCAGGGAGCCTTTCAGAAGTGCCTGCATACTCTGAACCTGGCCTCAGTGCTATCAGACATTAAAGCTAAAAACCAACAACCAGTTTGATTCAGATTTGAGTGTTTTGTCTGACAGCAAACCTCAGGCCTCACACACTGACAAGGCTATTGTCTCACATTAAGTATCTGTGAAGTTTTTGAACTAACACTTTGTCTTGGAACAATGGCAGCTAATTTGGATTAATTGCCATTTAAGCCTCCTGTGTAAACAGCTGTCCAGTTTCAGTCCATATCTCCAATTAATCAGCCCCAGATTAAACTGGTTGTTTGTTTTAAGCCTAACTTTACTATGTTCTTAACTCAGAAAATTATATATATATAAGATTAATTTTTAAGAACTTTTCTCCCATCTCCAGTGATGATCAGTGTGTTGATAACAAAACCTATGGTAGAAATCCATTACTAGAATTTCATTAGAGAAAAATAACAGATAACAACTAAACCCACACACGTTTGATAGCCTGTTGTCTAGTTAATATATAATACATTATATTCCATTTGACTTGGAGTAAAAGGGGCCCCCTGTTATAATTAAGTTGACTCATTTCCTGTTTAAACAAGCTATAGGAGCTAAAATGTCTAAAATGTGTCCTAACAATTTTGCTTTAACAAATGAAGGACTCATTGCATCCTTCAGGATTAGGTTGCTGCATTACTTCATGTACTGATTTCTTGGAAAATCTGAGGTTACCCTAGATTTTTTCATTGGTGTTTGTAGGGGGTGGGTGGTGGGAGGTAACTGTTTGTGGATGCTACTTAAAAATGTTAGGAACACTGTTGAGAAACAGCCTCTTAATTAGTAGTCTTTCTGGCTATATTATCAAGGGCTAAGCAAAATTAAAACCAGCTTTGCAGAAAAACAAAAAAACTATGATTAGAAAATCCCTTAAGAGTAGGTCTGGCAGTAATTCAAGACATATGAGAAATCAAAAACCAGTTGCTTAAAACTCTCTTGAAAAAGATTTCCAGAAAGACCTATGGGATGTTTAAAAATGTATCTTTACTATCTTTAATCAAATTAGGATTTTTTTTTTTTATAAAAACATATGGAGACAGATTCTGACCTCTCTCACAATTGTAAATCAGGAATAATTCCAGTAACATCACTGTAATTATTTCAGATTTACAATGATGTGAGCAAATCAGAAAGTAATCTTTAAATGTGGGTCAGATTATTATTTCTTGGTCATGCTAGTCTAGGTGTAGAAATATGTAAAAATACAAACTGACGGAGAGGTTTCTCTTACAGTTCAAAGAATGAGTTTGACATAAGAGAGATTTGAGGAGTGATATAACAATCATTTTAGTTCATTTGTAAAAAACCAAGATTCCTGCTGAGGCTAATTGGAATTTTACAGGTTATGCATAACCCCTCCACATGCACGTGCATAACCCCTCCACATGCACATCCTGTCCCTACTCCCCACTCCTCACACAGAAGGACTGTTAAGAATTGAACCATATTCTTTCTCTCTCTCTTTCTTTCTGGTTACAAAGTTGGATCCTGCTTTTCTAGGGTCCATTTTGTGTAAGGTCATGTCATGGCGTGATATTTTTTTTTAAACCATTAATGTGAATTCTGTTAGCATTTTTCAAAGTTGTGAGGGGCATGCCTACAAAAATTGCTTGCTTACTTTTTGGAGAAGTCCCTTTTGCAGCATCTTTGTGCTATTCACTAGCATACACTCCACTTTCCATAGATACACACAACTGTGAGATTTTGTGAGTGCAAATATAGATGTGTTTTGTAATTTTGGGAAATTTTGGCCTTTGAAGTCATGATATTGGTAATATTTCTTAAATGTTCAGTGATACTTATTCAGCAATTATTCTTTAAAACTGAAATGTGTTATCTTGGTCATCATTTTTCATATATGCTTTTAGTTAATATATACATGCCTAGTCACTCATTCCTACATTTTCCTACTTACTTTATGCTGTTACGATAATGCAGGGTATAGAGAAGGAATGAAACATAGAATCAAAATACTATCTTAACATATTGGCTTCATGGCCATATTTGGGGTTAAGAAGGAATTTTGCTGCATGGTCAAATTGGTATGGGCTGTGGGGGGTTTTTACTTCCTTCATAGGAGGGGGAGTGGCCCTCTAGCCCAGACTTCTTGAGCTTATATTGACAACGTTTTCTAGAAACGGATGTTGGCTGTCTTGATTCCCCTGCTTTACCTGTGGCAGATTAGGGTGTTAGGTCTATGTTGTGTCAGTGTTGAGGACAGTCTTATAAAGGGTCAGATTAACCCTTTACTGGGCTCTAGGAAAACAAACTCGTGGACCCCAGGCCTCTTGAGACCCCCCTCCCCACCCTGGTGCTGCTGCCTGCAGGGAGTGGGACTTGGAGCTGTCATTAGGAAGCAGGCACTGCTACAGCAAGGCCAGCAGAGGGCAGGGGAAGGGAAGGGAGGTAGATGGGGCCATTTGTGCTGCTGCTGTGGATAGAAGGACCATCCCCACCAGCAGCTCAGGACCCTAGGTATGTGCCTGGTTTACCTATGCATTAATCTGGTCCTGGTTTTATGTAGAGTGTAGATTATGGTTGTATGGAATGGTTTGGAAAGGAATGCTTCTGCCTCAGGCAGGGGGTTGGAGTAGGTGACCTTTGGAGGTCCCTTCCAGCCTTACTTCTCTATGACTGTAGCTTGACATCCTGCTTCCAGCAACTGCTTTTATATCATGAGTGAAAAGAAAACAACTGTTTACTATATATAGCAGATTTTGCCACACATGGAGAAAATTATTCCTTCCTGACTCCTTGCTAGGCAATCAACATACGCCCCAAAGCCTGAGATTTGTTTAGCTGTTGGACATCGACATACTCAATCTTGGGTCTGGAGCTATACCTAGGCAATCAGTTAGAATAGATGAGCAGGAAGCAGCAGCCAGGATAGAAAACAGGTGAGTCTCTTTAAAATATGTACCAGGTTCCTGGCCCCAAGTTTAGGCTCCTGCAACTGGAGTTTTTAACTTAACTGATATAACAACTTCGGTTAAACTCTCCTCTTGTCCTACATTTTGAAACATTGTCCAGTTCTTTATACAAAGAAACCTTGGTGGGTTTCCTCACTGCACACTTTGCTCCAAACTATTTTAGTGCTTGCAACACTATTATCCCTTTACAGTCATGCCCCGAGGGTAAAAATACTAGGATTAATTTCATCTGAACCTTTTGGTCAGGATATGAAAATGGGTATAGACTTACCTGCTGGCAGCAAGTGCTGAGCTGCCCATTTTTGGGATTGTTTCAGTTCAGTTCTTGTTTCCTGTAGTTCTTGCCATAGAGAATTCAAAATCAAATTGTCCTCTCTGGTGTAAGTGGATTTATCTTGCAGTGGAAAAGCTTGAGCCTCTGCTTCAGTTCTCTGCTGCCAAACACTTTCCAGCTGGCTGAGCCTTTTAGACACATTGTGGTTCAGCGTAAGAAGCTCTTCAAGAAACTCTCCTTGTTCAGATGCTTGAAGATTCTTGGATTCCTGAACTTGTCTGTGATTCTTCAGAAGCATTTCGTCTACATGTAGCACCAGTTGGGAAGAGATTTTTTCAATGGCTGTGGTGCTCATGCCAGCAAAGTTAGCCACAAACTGCATCATTTCTACTTTTAGGGTTTGCATTTCCACCTTCAGGATTTCATCAACAGACTGAAGTAACATGTTCTCTTTCATCTGTGAGTTCTCAAGCATGATGAAGAGTTTGTCCCATTCTGTGTGCTCTTGCTGACAGTCACAGGAAGGAGCTAAAATACAAGACACAAATGGTATACTTATTGAAATGTCTACACTCTCTACACTGCCAGTACTTTCCCAAATGGTTAAAAATAGAAGGTAAGGCAATACATAATGTAGCTGTTCTAAAAATTGTAGCAGCATTCCCAGAATCCTTTTACAAAGGAAAACTGAAAAATAAAGTATTATTTGGTGCACTGAATAACTTACTTTAAAAAGTACCTGCTTTTTCTTTGAAAAATGTAACAATTGCAATAACTCCTACAAGTGCTAAGCAATAAAGAGCATAATTTCAATATGCTTCCTTTGGTTTTCATAAAAAATGCTATCCAGAAAAATAGTTTGAATCCACTTACTTTCTTCAGCAGGAGGAATGACACCTTCAATTTCATTGTCAAAATTCTCATACATGAGATCATAGTCATCTTCATCCAGTACAGAAGTGGAAGTCCCGAAAGCACAACATACTATAATCAAGGAAAATATTTTCTGAGACAGCATTCTCTAGCTGTTTCCTAAAAGTCTGTTCGTCGTCTTGACTTAAAGGTCTCTGAGTCAGTCAGACCCTAGCAGAGAGGAGACTGAGAATGGAACACAGAAAACCCTTAATAAATACTCTGAGTGCCTGAACTTGAATGAATGAGTAATACTTGTGCCAATGCTGTAATAAGAGTGCTTCTGATTATTATTTTTTTTGGATGGGAGCAGGGGGAGGCGTGCGAGTTGCACAATCTTGGATCTTAAAGGTTTGCATTCTGGGTGGATTAACCAGAGGAGGGGAAAGAATGGGGAAAGCTGCTCTTGCAAACTGCAACTTTTCCTCTGAGACCAGACTTTTGTAACATGAAGTGATAGAATTGATAGAGGGGAACAAGAATCCTAAATTACCAAATTATCTGCATAAAAACATGATCATCATTTCATCATCTTTGTATGCTACTTTATGTCTCTTTTATAAACATAAGTGTTCCGTACTAAGGAAATCTACAAATTCATTTCTAGTTAAAAACTACCAGTGAAAGACTGGATAGGTAGAAGCACACAGTTCAGTCTAACAATGTAGTTTTTACTGCAGTCACTTTTATCTACCTTTGTGATATTAGTACACTATTGACTTTTAGCAGTGTAGGTAAACTCAGAAAAAAAGGAGATCTTCTAAATTTGGATTTCTAGTCCCAATTCCTTGTAATCATGCTATAGCTCAGTGGATAATCTTTTACTACATGTATCCTATTCCAGGAATCACTTAAGTTAGCAGATGCATAATTGAACTATTTATACAAAAATGATACTACTTGTTTTCCAATTAAATTGAAAACCCCAAATAGAGCATTCTTGAATTAGGTACTAATCTAGTGTTGAAATATTACTGTTCCTTAGGATTTGGCACTATATAAAAAGTTAGATACCTAGGATTACAGTAGCCTGTCTAAAGTTGTGGAAGGTTCAGTTTTATTTTGCAGTTGGGTGTGTTTAACCACTGATTATTTCTAGTGACAATTAATTGGTTTAAATACTTTGGTAACAGAATGGTGGCATAAATTATGGATGGGATGTAAGGCATTTACAGAATGGATATTAGGCTAGGTACAGATGTTCAGGGAAGTTAGGGGGAGGTTAGAGCATGTTAAAATGTCCACCTGAATTGTACAGAAGTTCAGAAAGGTTAGATCCATCTAAAACTGGCTGACTTGATCTAAGTTAGTACCTTGGAGGTAGTTTAACTTAGATTAGATCTGGTAAAACTGATCTAACTGAACTTCTGTACAGTCCCTACCAGCCCCCGCCAATCCTGCCAAGTCCTCCCAGACCCCATAACCCCCTTGACTAGTCCCTGGTAGCCCTCTGGAGACCCAGCGAGGCCCCCCAGTCTCCCCTGTGGACCCTGCTTGGGTTCTGATTCCACCAAACCCCCACAGATGCTGCTAGTTCCCTGATCCTGGTCCCTTTGACCCCTCCTTGGAGACCTCACTTGCCTCCCCAATCCTCCAAACCCCTCCCCACAGACCCTGCTTTTCCCCCACAATCATAAACACCCACTTTATTGGGGGGGGCTTACAATGATGCCTCTCCCAAATGGAACAGCTGGAGCAGAGCAAAGCACAGCCTGTGGAAGGGCATGGGTGGATGTGGACTGCCTGCTGTGGCCTCAGGGCTCTCCACCCTGCTGCCCTCCCCCTAGGACCACCATGCTGGCCACACTGCCAAGGTGAGGCACCCCCTAACCACCTGGCAGCAGTGGGGGGCACAACTCTACACCCACCCCTGCTGCTGCTGCGTGGGCAGAGGGTGCCTTGCTATAGTAATGCAGCTGGCACGGGGCTTCTTTGGGGAGGGCAGCGGGGCAGAGAGCACTGAGGCTGCAGTGGGTAACCCACAGCTGCCCCTACCCCACATACAAATCTGGGGGGCACATGCCCTGCCATACTCTTCTCCCTGGGAGTGCATGCAGCAGCAGGAAGCCATTCCCTCCCCCAGCCCCGCCCCCCAGCCTCCTGGATGAGCCACCTGTGGCTGTCTCTTGCTCCTTGCCCCAGGCCCCATGTACCACCCTGGCTGGGCAGTGCCGCCAGCCCCTGCCCCACTCTATCCCTCCCTCACCCTGGGGACCTAAATCTGTCATAGACTTACCTGCAGGCAGCTGGGGTAGCTGCTTTCCCCCACTGGCTGGGGCTGCGTTCCTGGCCACATCCATGTGTACACATGCATACATGTATGTGGCATCCCATGTGTCCTCTCACAACCACTAGGCGGCTGGAACTCTGCCAGCCTGCAAGGGAAAAGCTGGTATTTCCCATGTTTTTCCTCAGTGAATGGAAAACCTGGATCTCTGCACAGTTCTGAGAATCTGGGACAAATGTTGTCCCAGAGTCCTGCAGCCTAGGACTGGGACTCGATGTTCCCATTTCAGGATTGTCCCACCCAATTAGGGATGGGTGGTCACTCTACCCTCTTCCTGAGGGGGGCCAGGGCCCTTGGGTCCCCATGTACTTGGTACCTCTGCCCCCAAGTCCCACCATCCTCACGTGACTTAGATCACATGGTCATTTTTAACTTGATCTAACCTCCTCCTAACCTCCCCAGACGTCTGTATATAATCTATGTGATCGTAATAGCATAAATTACATAAGTTTGATGTTTGTGAGTGTGCCAAATGAACATAAATTTGATGCCCACAGATTATAGAAGTGTATACAAAAATCCAGCCAAATATGCAAGATAAACAGGTTCAAACTGTTATAATTATAAGAATCTTAAAGGCGTCTTTTTTTTTTGAGGAAGTCCGGTATATAGGTATCTGTACATATTTAAACTAGCAAATTCATATTCAAAACTGATCCCTTACCTCCGTGATTTTCAACCGGGATGCTGGGGCACCTTGGGTTGCTACCAGATCTTTTAAAGGGTACAGCGAAGTGTGAGGAGATAAATAGATAAATGGAGTCTCAGGCTTGTTCCTACCTGAACGATCTCCAATCCCTGCTGTGTGGCCCCTCTGCAAGGGTGTAAGGTCTATAATTATAAATTAGTTTTTTAATTTGAGTGCTACTTAATTCACAAAAATTATGGAGGGTGCCTTGAGTCCACTGAGGGGTGCCTCAGGCCTGGAAAGGTTGAGAACTACTGCCTTAATGGTTATATGAGCTGTTGGACCTGACTGAACATTTCGGGTTTTCATCATAGGTCCCTCTAATGTTGGAATGCTGCAAAGAAGAACTAAAGGGTATGTTGGCAGGCCAGGTTAAAGGGCATGGCTACACTGATATTTAGGGTTGTCTTGAGATTGCCCTGGACTAGGCTTTGCCATGTGAACCATTCTTTCCTGTCTATATCTACATAGTACTGCTTATTTCTTGAGCACAGGATTCAGATGTAGCCTGGGTTCTCTTGTGGAGCCCTACTAGGAATTGGTTTGTAGGATGCTCATCTCTGCATATGAGCAGAAGAAAGATGGGGTGGGTCCAGGAAGTCAGGGCAGAAAACTGTGGAATTGATGATTATGGATTTCCTGTGCGCAGGGCCACAGGCCCAGAAAAGTTCCAAACATTGCAGAAAGGGGCAGTCAAGGAGTGAGCAGCAGTAGGATTGAGTTCTCATCTGGGAGTTGAGCAGAATTCCAAGGTTTGAACTGTCACCAAGGCTTGAACTAAGGTATTTACAATAACATTGATCTGCAGATATGGGACTGAAGGCAACCCTATCAATGTGGACATAGTCTAATTGATAACAGGGAGAGTTAGTAGAAAATCTTCTGTGAGAAGGACTTGTATTTTTGGAATAGAAAGAGGTAAATTGTGTTTCCAGCATCTTGAGTTAACCTGTTACTGTGGTGCCTGTCCAGGTATGTACTGTGTGAAGCATAGGCCTGTTTTATGCTGACATTTAGCTATTGGTCTGGACTCATAAATTCCTGAAGACCATCACTGATCACTACAAAAGGAGAATACTCTGGTCAGACCCAGTAGAATGAGTAAAGGCATTAACTCTAGACCACTGGGTGGAAGTAATGCTCTGTACTAAAACTTGATTCAGCACTAAGAAAGAGAACCAGGTAATTATGGTATCATATCATGGAGTATGTTGGCAACAGTGGGGGTCCAGTAAATAGAACAAAGGCCAACGTGGGCAGAAGATAGGAGTACTGAGCATTCTTAAGATGCATCTAGGTCAGAAGGCAAATAACTATGAGAAATGCTGTGCTGTCATGACTAGATTGCTTTTGGTATTCAAGTTAGTTTCAAACAAGCTAGATAAAGGATCTGTAGTCTGTGATGTAGACTTACAGGTAGTTAGTTATTTGCATTGTTTTTGGAGTCTGACTGTTTCCCCCTGCATGTATATATAATGCCTCAGTTGGGTTCTCTAGGTAGTACCCTAATACAAAAATAAACAAAAATGTCAAAATATGAAACCTGAAGTTAATATGAAATACTGAAACCAGCATTTTCAAAGTTCTGTGCCTAGATAGATACCTGATCTGGAGAGCCAGGTATTATGGGTATGACAAGTTTAGCTCTGTCCATAAATATACATTAAAATGATAACTATTCTAAAACAGAATTAATTTAAATGTGCTTTAGTACAAATGCAGAGTTGTATCTGCCAGTGCTTACTTGGAGTGCACCGCTTTCTGTGCATTTTAAATAACTGTTCTATATGGCTGCATTCTTTAGCACAGAGATGAAACAAGCTAAGTACAGACAGCCAAAAAGCCTGACACTGAATCAATTCAGTCTTCGCAAGTTAGTTTAAGTTGCAAAGATTGAACCGATTTGCAAGTGAATAGACATTCACTTTTGATTCAGGAAATGTAGGCACATGCCTTCGGTGGCTCAAGCCAGAAGCTGGGGGGGAGCACTAGAGCATACCTCCAAGCCTGCCAGCTCCAAGGCTATTCTCCTCCCTGCCTGCTCAATAGGAGGGGGCATGGCCAAGCCCCAGCCCTGGCCCAGAGCTAGCTGGAGGGTCTACCTAGGGGGAGGAGGGGAGCAGCACCTGCCAGGCTGAGGAGAGGGTGGGTGGGGAAAAAGGTAGTGGCAACTGAATTCATAAAAGCTTGAACAAGAATAGTCCTTTCTGTGAAGTGAGCATGTATTGAACAGACGGGAACAACCCTGCAGAGTCCTACAGGCTGTGATTATGGACTACAAGTCCCAGAAGCACCTGGAAGCAGGAAGAGGAAGTGATGAGCAACCTTGCAGAGTCCTGCTGCTGTGGGTCTGGCCTGCAAATCTCAGAGACCTCAGGGGCAGCAGGAAGAGAAAGTGAACACACGGACTATGCTGGGGGACTCTATTTAACTTGAACCAGGAAGGGGCCTGGGACAGAAGTTTCATAAACCAGTTTGACCTAAATAAGTTAAGTGTGAAACTATGTTCAACCAGGTTTATCTTAAACTGGTTTATGTGCACTGAGCTTCTGTTCTGTTACAGGTTTAAATCAGTTTCTGATGACTTAAACCGGTTTATGTGCAACTTCTGTCGCTAGTCACAGAGTCCTTGTAGGAAGCACAGGCAGGAAGCTAGACTAATGTCATTGCTAGCAATAACCTTCCCAGTAAAGAAGAGGCCAGATAAGCACGTGGTCATGGCACCAGGCAGAAGAGTTGATTTTACTGCAGTGATGGAGGGCACATAAGCTGTGTTGCGCTGGGATCTCATCTGCTTCACAGCCCTCTCCCTTGCTTGCCTGCAACCAGCAGCTCACAGTCATAAAATGTCACCAGTTTGATAGTTTCTGACTGGATTGCACAATTCACAATGTGTGGTCTGCTTGGAAAATCTGACAGAGGCTAAACTGAGTATACTATTTGGTGGGGAAAGGTATAATAAAGGGAGAACAAAGATGCTTTCAGAACTTTATTTTAGATGAAGACCAACAAAACAAAAAAGAACAAAAGTAAAGTCCCCAGTACAGGCTGCAGAGGGACTATCTGTATGGCACAAGGCAGAGCTCATCATAGGCTGCTGGACTGCACATTCTGAGAGTGCTTAGGGATAAAGGCACACAACAAAGCACTCAAAAGGCCTCACAGATTCCACTTAAATGCACTGTGTCCAGGACATGAAACCATTAGAAAATGATTAATTAAATTATGTTGTGTTACCTTTTTTGCATTGTTAAAAGAACAGATACAACTGTCTTGTCTACCTTTATTGTTTAGTAGTTTGTACTTACAGGTGTTTCAGTTGTATTATAAATGTAATTTAGAAAGTAATTCCATGCCACTGAGATCACGTAAATGTTATGCTAAATTAATCTAGATGTTTCTGATTTAATTTTTATCTTGCCCTCTGAAAGTCCCTTCCAGCCCTACTTTTCTATGATTCTATTTGTATCACAAAGGGATACTAAAGTCAAGCAATTGTTAGTAACATTTTACAATAATTGGACCAAACTCTACCTTAATTTACATCATTTATATGTGAAATGCAGCTGAGTTCAGTGACATAATTTATCATATGGGTGTGTTCATCACATACAATTGTCACTTCATGTCACACTTGTATCATATTACATCATAATGTTACTTCCTGTAATGGACCTGGTATTCTAATTTATTGTTTCTAATTTATTGTGTAACTCTGTGTGTGTGTGTGTGTGTGTGTGTGTGTAATAGTCAAATATATATATCAGCTGTGGTAGTCACAGATCCTTTTGTTCTGGACCTGTTGCCCTTTTTCCTTTTCTCACTGAATTCCTTCTTGACCCTTTTTTTACAACTGGGATGAATATTCCCTGGCCAGGACAATGGGAAGCATACTTTTTCCTATGGTTACTATCAGTGGACACATCAACATGAGATGCTACTGTGCAGTGGTCACTGTGCATTTATTTAGTACTTGTATTAGCAAGTACTAAATAAATGTGCGATAACCGGAGTTACTGTGCAGTAGCACCAATTAATGTCTTTCAAGTGATGCTATGGTGCAGTAGCCTATTAGCATATTAGCACTGTCCATGCTGTGACTCACTACTGCACAGTCTTATTAGGCTACTGTGCAGTCAGAATCTCATGTAGATGCACCCAGTGACATATAATCAGAGAGCTGTAATTAGAGGACTCCACTCCATGCTCATGGAAAAACTGCCATTGAAGTTGATGCAATTTATATACATGGAAAGAATGCAAGATCTCTTTTTAAAAGAACTAAATAGTTTAGAGAAGATAATGGAATTCATGTATTCTTGTCAATCAAAATTTAGTGTAAAATTCTAACTCAGAGGTGAGTCCAGGATTTTAGGTTAATATAACTTACATCTCCTTTTAATCCATCATCATATAAGTTGGAACTTCACTGGACTGAGTTGCCAGCGTATAACTACATATCACCTCTGAAATTAGCCCTTGTCTGGTACTTGGCAGTTTTAGCCCTTGTCTGGTACTTGGCAGTTTTACTGTAACAGATAAAACTTAATAGGTAAGGAGGGGGTCATATGCTGCCCTTCCTCTGCATGTGCAAATCCCAGTGGGTGGGATTTTCAAAAACACCTGAGTGATTTAGGAGCACAGTTCCCATTATAAATTGTGATGGAAATTGTGTTCCTGAATAACTTATGATTATTGAAAATCTCATGCAGTAACTTCATGGGGAGCTTTGCATAAAAAATGTGGCTAGAAAATAGGGCAATAACTGACCAATGAGGCAAGAAGGCCTCTCCCTCTATGTGCTAATCCTTTTCTCATAATTTGTTAGCAAAACCTTTTTTTCCCTTGGGCCTTTTATCCTGAAGGATCACAATTGCTTTATAAACATTACACTCAGAGCATCTCTCAGATGAAATCACCTCTCATGCAAATAGTAGAAACTGGATGGTCTTCCAGTTTATAAACAGCACTTCAGTGAACAAGGAGGAATTTTCTATTTGTCTAGGATAATGGATGCAAAACACATTGTTGTTTCTAATTATGGTCTAGAAATCGTCAGTAACCACAAATGAATAACCATAGGTTGACTAGAGAGATTCTGCCAAGTCCCCTTTTCACTGTTCTGATGCCATACACAGGACTCGGAGTCCCAACATAGGCTGCCAAAACCTCTTGACTGATGCGACTAACTCTGTGCAATTCCTTCCTTAGAGTAGGGGGCAGAAGCAGGTATGGGTAGAGGTGCAGTGAGGTGGCTTCCTTGGCAGGCTTAATATTTCCTTTAAGGGTTTTTACAAGCTAGCACACCTATAAGTAACCCCACCCTGCTGTAAGCTGCATGTTAGTTATTTGCTCAAAGTCAAATTCAGATGATGCAATACCCCATTTTCTATTTTATAGTACCTCACATGAGCTTGATGAAATTGTACCAAGTAAAATTGTACCAAAACATGGCTTTTCAGCTAACCTAAAAACCTTGTCTACTAAGTGAGTTACCTGATTATCTTCCATAGTTACAAGGCACAAATTAAAACAGGACAAAAAGCAGCAGGCCAATGTGGCAGTTCTTATTTGAAAGCAAATCCAGAGAGACTTCAAGTACTTTAAAAATTTACAGAGTGGATCCATACTGCAGAGTGATAGGCAGATGTTTTCCATATGTTGCTCAAATGAAACTTAAGTGCCCTAAGACAGGCATGTACAGCCTGCTGTTATATATTTCTGTGAGAGACTGGTTTCAAATTAAAACATGCACGCACATCTCCAAATACCAAAAAATGTGAGAGACGATTTTGCATGCGTCTCTTTGATTGACTCTCTTTTTGGTCCCTCTGGACCCCTGGATGTGGCACCCTAACCATTTCTGTTCAAATTCTCCTCTGTGCTCATTAGATTCTCATAATAACTAAGTATTCTTTCCATATGTTGGCTGTTTCATTTAAGTGTCTTAATGTCAGCAAAGGCGAAAAGTAGTTATCATACATTCTCTTGTCTTTGTCAGATTTTAAATCACATTTATTCTGTGGTTTAGAGCTCAATTACATACCATCCAAATCTGAAATACCATTAGATAGCCTTCATTTACATAAACTTATTCTCCAGACTGAAAACAATAACTGATAGGAAATATTTTCTACTTCACCCATGTTGTTCCACTTAATGAAATTCCCGCTTGGATAGGAGGGTTTTGGTTTCTTGGTCCAATATACATTTTTTTTCATTTGTGAGTTTTATGTTTCCTTGTATATTCTAATGATTCTCAGAAAATTGGTGTTATCAAAATTCTGACTGTCTAGGGATGTATAAAAGGGTATTGGAATAAGAAAGGCAACAAGACAGACAGAGCCTTGACACACATTTTTCTGGATTACTCTGTTAACAGGAAACTCCATGCTGCTGCGTGTGTTGCCCTCTCTCTATGAAAAGCAACCACAGTCAATTAATAGCCATCTAAAGGAGCTGGTGGCACTGATGTCTCAGCTGGAGCAAGCAGAACAGCACCACCTTCTAAGAGTATTTCAGGTAGTGGCAAGGAGAAAACAACCTGAGGTAAAAAATAATACAGACAATTACAGCTGGGTGGAATGTGGTCACTTGCTCTTCAAAGAGTTTATGTTCCACAGTATATCCTGACCATGCCTGCAGGCAGTCCTTCTCAGTGCTGTAGAGTCCCATATAATGCAAGTGCCAGTACAGCTGGCTTTAACCCTGATCCCATGTGAAAACAGAAGAAGGTTTTGGAGATGCTCTCCATAAGGAAAAGGAAACCATAAAGAGAGAGTGACCATGATATTTCTGGGATAACACTGGACACTTGGAAAAACTGAAAAATGTCTTCAAACAACTACTTGCTTGATTTTTGTGAATGAATTTGCCTTAGCTTTGCCCATACTGCTTTCATGTTTAATGCCTACAGAGGTTCAGTAATAGAGGTTTAGTTACAAAAAAAAGGTTATGAAAAGCAAAAATCAGTGAGCTGGCAATTAAATATTGTGATCAAATGAGTACCTATGTGTGTTGCATATGTTTGTGCACTCAATACTTACTACTCAACAGGTAATAAAACACAGCCATGCTATTCAACCAGTTACTGCAGCACAGGTGCAATTCTGAATACTTGTGATCAATCCATATAACAACATTTTCAACAAAGTGTTAGTTGAAATAATGCAAGGAAATTATTTGTTTCCCATAGATAGCCTACAAGTTGAAAAGAACACTGAATTCATCTTTAAATTACCTATTGCATGTTATTTGTTCAGTTCTGCTATGGAATTGAGATTTCTATAGTGAATCCGTCAGATAGAAAAATGTTCATAATGCTGTCATTTTTACTATCCTAGTTCAAGGAATGTAACTAGTTTATACAAGTAGTTTTTCTGTATCAAGTACGTACTTTCACAAAACCTTTTGAGAAGAGCCAGATCTTCTTAAACATTAATAAATTCCCAACACTGAGTTTTATGAAAATTTAAGGGACTCAGCTAATGTGTACAGGGGCTTCCTTGGTATGTTGGATGGACTTCACTGGGATATCTCAAACCAGAACTGTTATCTGGACAGTAAAGGATCTAATATGGGAAACATTCCACTTTGACTCAGCTCAGTTTTGCTTAATATTTCCTGGCGTTTTTGCATAATCCTTTGCCAGTTTTGTTGCTTCTCATTGCATTTTCTTTTGTGAAGATAAGAAAGGATAAAAGGCTCAAGAAAAGTTTAAAGGAGATTTAAAGTGAACTGGTACCAGAATATGAGTGAGCAAGAACTTAGTTAAAGGTACAGAGATCATGTTTAGAAAATGATACACCCTCTATGCAGGCATGACTCTAATGGGGCTCAAAGCATCAGAACAGGGTACAAAGCTGCCTCCCTTATAGAAATTACATTTAATGATGTTAGCAGAGTGCAATGGTAGTTTAGTGCCACCCCACTATAGCCAAGGAAATGTTACCGTAATATATAGTTACAGAGAAAATGTAACTGTTTCTAAAAAAACCCAATACTTTTCAGTCACATGGGTTCTGTTTTGTCATTGCTTGCAACCTGTTGGCCAAAATGCCATTTTCATACAATTCCATACTGTAGCTGTCAAATTATGTTATCTTGTGTGTCTGTCATGTATTTGTGGTAAAATAGGATCTGGCATTGTGAAAACTAGCTATCTAAATCAAGGAATAGACATATATGCTTCTAGAAACTGATCCAAACCTGTTAGAGTCAGTGGAAAGACTTCATTGACTTTTACTGACAGGATCTCACCCTTATTAACCCAGCTCATATCCATGCAAGTATATATGCTTAACCATGATTCAAGCACCTATTTTGAACGCCTTCAAGAGACATTTGGATGTCTATCTTGCTGGGATCCTATGATCCCTGCTGACTTCCTGCCCCTGGGGCAGGGGGATGGACTCGATGATCTTCCAAGGTCCCTTCCAGCCCTAATGTCTATGAAAGTCTATGAGCTGATCACCTTCACCATGCTTTGTACCATGAGCTGATCACCTTCATCACCCGTCGTAATCATGAGCTGATCACCTTCACCTTCACTATCTTCCCTAAAGCTGGCAAGTCAGTCAGCAAAGCAGAAGTCCTCGACCTCAGGAAAACTGACTTTGAAAAGCTCAGGAGGCTTGTTGGCGAGGCCCTAAGGGACCATGATCCAAAGGGGAGGGGAGTTCAGGAAGGGTGGTTGCTCCTCAAGGGAGCGATCCTCGAAGCTCAAGCAATGTCTATCTCATCTCGAAGGAAAGGCAGCAAAAGGGCACAGCAGCCCCTTTGGCTCTTCAGGGAACTAGTGGACCACCTGTATCTAAAAAGAAAGACCTATAAAGGATGGAAGGCTGGATCCACCCCAAAGGAAGAGTACTCTGCACTGGTCTTGACCTGTAGGGAGCGAACCAGGAAAGGCAAGCCTGCGACTGAACTCCAACTGGCTACATGTATCAAGGACAATAAAAAGTCCTATTTTAGATATGTGGGCTGCTGGAGAAAAAGCAAGGGTGACATTGGACCCCTGCTAACCAATATGGGTCAACTGACAACCGATGCCTAGGAAAAAGCTAACCTACTTAACGGGTATTTTGCATCAGTTTTTCACCAGCTGCAGGGGACGGCCTTGCTCAATATGGTATGGGATGGTCAGGGCAAGGGAGAATTGTTACCCTTCATCAGTGTTGACCACATGAAGGTACACCTTGAGAGGCTGGGCACCTTCAAGTCAGCTGGCCCGGACAGCTTACACCCAGGGTACTTAAGGACCTGGCAAGCATCATAGCTCTGTCACTGGCACGGATCTTTGAGAACTTGTGGCTCTCAGGCAAAGTGCCCAATTGGAAGAAGGCCAATGTGGTGCCTATCTTCAAGAAAGGGAGGAAAGTAGATCCAGGGAACTACAGGCCCATCAGCCTGACCTCTATCTCAGGGAAGATCTTGGAAAAAATCATCAAAAAGACTATTCTTGACAAACTGGCTGAAGGCAACTTCCTGAGGGATAGCCAGCATGGGTTTATTGTGGGTAGGTCTTGCTTGACCAATCTCATCTCCTTCTATGACCAGGTGACATATCTCCTGGAAAAGGGAGAAGAGATTGATGTCATATATCTTGATTTTAAGAAAGCTTTCGATCTGGTATCCCACAATCATCTCATAGAAAAACTGGCCAACTGTGGCCTCAGCTACATCACAGTCTGCTGGGTGGGGAATTGACTGTGAGGTCAGACCTAGAGAGTGGTAGTTGACAGAAGTCAATCATTGTGGTGCACCGCGACCAGTGGGGTCTGCCAAGGCTTTGTTAGGCCTATTCTTTTCAACATCTTCATTAATGATGCGGACATTGGTATCAGAAGTGGACTGGCCAAGTTCATTGATGACACCGAACTTTGGGGTAAAGCGTCCACTCCTGAGGACAAGATGGTGATCCAGGCCGACTTTGACAGGCTCGGAAAATGGGTGGATGAAAACCTGATGGCCTTCAACAGTAAAAAATGCAAGGTACTCCACCTTGGGAAGGAAAACCTGCAGCATGCTTATAGACTCGGCAGTGCTACGCTTGCTAGCACCATGGCCGAAAGGGATTTGGGGGTCATGATTGACTACAAGATGAATATGAACCATCAGTGTGATGTTGCAGCTGGCAAAGTGAGCAAAACTCTGGCTTGCATCCATACATGCTTCTCTAGCAAATCCCAGGATGTCATCTTCCCGCTGTACTCGGCTTTGGTGAGGCCGCAGCTGGAGTACTGTATCCAATTTTGGGCTCCATAATTTAAAAAGGATGTGGAGAAGCTTGAGAGAGCCCAGAGGAGAGTCACACACATGATCACAGGGCAGGAAAACAGTCCTTATGATGAGAGGCTGAGAGCTACGGGACTCTTCAGCCTGGAAAAGCACAGGCTCAGGGGGACCTGGTGGCTGCCTATAAGTATATAAGAGGTGTACATCAGGATCTGGGGGAATGCCTGTTCACCAGAGCGCCCATGGGATGACAAGGTCAAATGGTCACAAATTCCTCCAAGGCTGGACATAAGGAAGAACTTCTTTACTGTCCAAGCTGCCAAGACCTGGAACAGACTGCTGCCAGAGGTGGTACAAGCACCTACTCTGGACTCCTTTAAGAGTCAATTGGACATTTATCTGTCTGGGATCCTATGACTCCAGCTGATTTCCTGCCCCTGAGGCAGGGGGCTGGACTTGATGATCTTTTGAGGTCCCTTCCAGCCTTAATGTCTATGAAATCTATGAAATGACCAGCTTTAAACCACTTAAGTGCTTTGACACTGTGTCACACTTTATACAAAATGCTTAGTAGCAATGTTTGCTATTACTCACAATTTACAGTCCCATGTTTGCAGTACCATTCTTCCTCACCATTATCAATAACTCACATGGAATGATAACACAGTCCCTTGCAGCATCTCTCACATATGATATGCACACATACATATATTACAGTACTAACCCTATAAAATTCATACACATAGGCCAACAGTCACATTGAATCACATGTATATTGATACATCATAGTTACTCAGTAGCCTGCACATCATATTAATGGAATGGTTAATAGGTAATGGAAAATACTGTTTACAAGTGATCTACAATTTTGGGGAGCAGATTCTTCTCTGTACTATTGTAGCTACGTGAAATGACAGTGGTATGCATCATTTCAGACCACTCAAGGACCTTGCCCTTTCAGCCATTAGTCTTCTGTTTTTATTTAGCCTCTTGGCTTAAGCAGGAATCTCTGCTAATCTTTAATTTATTAAATTATTGGGGAAATTAATTCATAAATTGTTTCAATCAATACAATTTAGCAATAAACCAGAGCAATCTAAAGGGAAAAACAGCTGACTATGGTCTTATATAGGAATGTCCGTATTTTTGGAAAGTTGCATTTATGCATGTATAACCTAAGGCCATGGACTACCCTTGTTCCTTGTGAACTTGCATTGACCTCAGCACCAGATCTATGCAAAGATCATCTAGGTTGAAAAAAAATCTTCATTTTTACTGGAATAGATTTGTTTATCTTAAAATTAATAAGCAATTATTTCTTTTTGTCACTGTAACATATAATAGCTGTCTTGACTTTCTTGCAAATGTATTTTTGATTAATTTTGCCTTTTTTGTCTTGTTTTGTTTTGCTTTTGATATAGGTGTTAAAAGAGTGCATTCCATTTCTAATTAGCCACTTAAGAGACCCTCATCATAATGACATTATCCTAAATATACTTATAGAAATATCAGGCTATGAACCAGTAGCCTTGGCCAGTTCTCTTCCAGTGCTGAAAGAGATTGGTGAGAGTTTTCCAAGTCTGATTGGACAGATGGCAAAGATCTTTGGAGCTGTTGGGCATCTTGATGAGGTATTTGTAAAAAAAATATGTCTTTTTAACTGTAATTATTCTTTTTTGTCTGGGGCCACTGAAAAGTAATAAATGATGGGCCATTTCAATATGGCCTGCACCTGTAACTAAGCCTCCCAACGCCATAATGCTCATAACATTGTTCCTACGTATAGAAAGGGCAATTTGTTACAAGTACAGCATTGGGGTAGATAGGCAAGCCAATAGCAAAAGAAAACAGGCATTGTGTCTTAATTGGACACAGCAAAAAATGTTATACAGTACAAACGCTCTAAAAAAGTGGGGAATAAATTAGTGGGGAAGGGAGCAACATCCCACATGAGACTAATGAGCAGGGTAAAGAACAAACATGTTTTAAAAAGTGAAACTATACTTCAAACACAGCAGATTTCCTTTTTTGTTTGTGGTTTTTTGAATTGTCCTGTTGTTTTTAAAGCTTGTATGTGACAACACAGAGAGACTCTCTCTTAAATAGCATAGCCATGTGAAGCTTTGAAACCTAGCAATTTGGGTGAAAGTAGAGCATTTTGCAAAAATATTGTATACTCTTTGCATAATATTACATTTGAAAAGGAAACAGTCCCTAATGTTGTCTTAATAAGGCAGTGAAATACGAACTTACTTGAATAACATAATCCAAATGTCTGACTTTGTACCTATAGTTGGCTGGATGTTTTATATACATGTTATTATACTGAAATGTTTTACTGTAGATGATGGGCCAAAGTTTGCCCCCGGAAACACCAGTGTAAATTTGGAATAACTACATGGATTTTATGGACTTATTCTACATTTACCCTGGTTTAATGAGAATCAGAGTTGGACCTGAAGTATTTACTACATATAATAATAATGAGGGAATACATTCTGGAAACCTCACCTTTGCTGATTACCATTGTAATCTGACAGCTATATAATAGGGAGATCCCAGAAACGTTTGGATGAGACAAATGTAAGTAGGTGGAGGTGAACTGTACTGTGCACTTTCAGATGTATAGGGCTTGCTTGAAATTTATCATTAGTACTGATCAGGACATTTTTGATGGAACTTTTTTCTGTATAAAAATACCAAATTCAGTTAATTGACAATAAGCATTCGGAGGAAGCATTGTTTTTAACAGATTTCTCAAGTTTTGAAAATCAAAGCTTTGAAACTGACAAAATGTTTTGGCATTTAAAAAAAAATTCTGTTTTTCAGTTTGCAATGGATTTTTGTTTCAAGGTTTAAATTAAGTTTCAGTGAAAAAAATCAAAATGAAATATTTCAAAATGATCAAATCATAAAAGTTTGCTTGATCTAAACCATTTTCCAGACTTTTAGTTTTCAAAAAGTTTCAAGATTTAGATACTTTGCACTGGTTTGGGATAGGAGCACTTTTTATATTACTAAATTTTTAGCTGAACAGAAAAAACATTTCCCACCTACTTCCTATATACGGTAAGAACTTGTGATATAGAATGAGAGTCAGTGGCTGTCATGAAATGTCATCAGCTGTAATGTGTATCCTTTCCTTTTTCAAGTACAAATAAAATGCCTAGAGTTTTCAGATTCAACATGAATAATTATTGACTTTTTAATGATGTGACTACTGTAACGTAGCAGTTAAATGGCAGTACCTCTCTTCCTAAAGTCCATGTAAATCAGCATAATTCATTTTTTATATTGTTCCATTCTAGTGGATAGTTTTGTAGCTTGATGGAAAAGGATACATGCTCACAATAAACCTACTAATGGGATTGCATGGCTTACTAAATGACCTATGTCATGCTCCTATTTTGCACTACTGGCTACCATTTGGCTTTACTCCCAATATTCCTTGCTTTCATTCTCTATAGAGTTAGCCACTTGTGACCTAATTACCTTGTGTTTAACTAATCCATGTGCCACAACACCAGGCACAAATATGCTGTATAAACCACTCCCATACACCTTCTCTTGTGAGGTTGTAGAGTCTTGCGACTAGGGCTTTGTCTTCCTCTCCAAAATCACAAGGGTCTATTTAACTGTCCCATGTCTTCTTTGTGACTCAATTCATTGAGGGCAACATTCCAAACACAAAACTGCTGTATTTTGTTTTCTGTTATTGATATATTATGTTTTTAATGTCTTAAATCACTAAATTGATAGGTCTTTTGTCAAAGAGAGTACTATAGTATCTTCAGTCAACTTATAATATTTGTGTTGTAATCTATCTTTAGATTTATGATGAAGTGATTATCACTTACTACACAGGCCCTTCTTACCTTGTTGATACTGCAAGTACTAAGAAATATGACCCTAGTTGAGATTAACACTGGGAACTTGAGAAGAGCTGAAAACCTTAGATGTTCTCAGGACAGTGTGCCAATTATTTAGAATTTATGATACAACATATTTTTAAGAATGCTTTATTTTCATTCCTGTGGATATGGTTTGCATGTTCCTTATAATTATGAATAGACATTCTCTTTCAATGTCAAATCAGTTACATGTAAGATAAAACAAAAATGTTGTGCAGAATTCAAGTGGCTTATGGTTATTCAGATTTTTAGGTCTGAAGGAGAACTAGATTATCGGTGGAAAATGAATGGAATGTAGCTAGTGTAAACATTTTTGAACACGAGTGTTACAGTGACTAGCATAGTTTATTTCAGTAAGGCTGTAGCCAACAGTCTCATCTTCTTTCAACTCAGTGCTTAGCAAGCAAAACTCCCACTGAAGTCAACTGGAGTTTGCATCTGATGAAGTGAACTTGGGTTCATAAAAGCTTGTGCTCTCCATATCTATCTATCTATCTATTTATCTATCTATCTATCTCTTATTTAGTTAGTCTATAATGATGTATATCTGCCCTGCCTTCTGAGTAAAGATAACAAGAACTGGCCTTGTATAGATATGTGTTTGTAGGAACAGGAATTTTGGAAAGTTTAAATGTTTTAAAAAATATTTGTTGAAGCTCATTTTCATAAACAGTAGTGGCCTTAGGGGAGGGAAAACTGAGTGACTGTCTGGTGTCCCACACTTTATAGAACTAAAAATTAATAACACTGAATATTTGTGTTATTGATATTGTATTAAGATACTTTCATTGCAGTTTCATGGATAGGGCAAAGTGAAATTGAAATTAAAAAATGTCTGACTTGCTTATGGGTCATCAAAATTAAGCCTCAGAGAGTCCCCAAATGACACTCTTGCCCAGGACCCCAACAACTTAATAATTTGTTTTCCTCTTGAGAAAACAGCATTGCATATCCTGAAAAACGCAACTCAAAACTGAGACTTTTTAAAAAAAGATTATTGTTTATTTTATCTTGGGCATAGGCCCAGTCCTGAAGTCCTCTCAGAAGCTTTGTATGTAGGCAGACTGCAGAGTTTAAATTATAAAAATTGTAGAATGTGTTAACAGGAGCCCATATTTTTAAAAAATCTCACTGATTGTGTAGATTTTCTGAGGTTAAAAGTATGGAAATTCACTAAAGCACATCCACTATCAAGACTTGGTAGTCAGTATGCTGTGTGGAGTTAAATATGGTGTGTAAATGCAGATGACTTGCAAATAGGGTCAGGCGGAAATAGATTGCGCAAACGGAACTTTTCATATTGTATCTTACATATACAAATGCATTTGCACTTCCTAACATGGTTGCTGCTCCCAACAGGTTCTTTAGGAATTCCCTTGTCTAAATATGAGATTTAGGTGTATTATTTACCCACTAGATATCACTGCACATAACATATTTCCTGTAAGCTGGTGTCCTCTATATTCTTGCACAGGGATTTTACCATAATCTTACCTTACTGAATTAGGCCTTTGCATCTTTCTAAATTTGTTTGCTCCAAAAGAATTCATTAGTGAATGGATCAGGAGAAGTTGAAGAAAACGTGTTATACTGTCCTGAAACAACTATGCAAACTAAATTCTTCCCGCCCTACCCATGTGCTTAACTTACACCTGAGAAGTAACATTTCATTGTTGTTGTTTGCTTAGCCCAATTGATATTCAGGGTCTTGAGCAGAGATAGTGCCTTCCAGAGATTCTCCAAGAGAAAATCCTAATGCCTAACTTACTTCATCCCCCCACCTCCTCCTGTAAATTTCTTTGATATCATGCATGAGACTTTGTTCTACAAACTATTGTGAGCCATCAAAATTCTCAAGAAATAAATCTATTTGACAAGGAAGGAGTTACTGGTAGAACTAGATGAAATAGTGTAAACTTACTGAGAAATTATCAACCATTGAGGTGAAACCACCGTTCAGTTTGCTCAGTCCAGCAGACTGTCTTACACAGTACATCACCTACAATGCTTGTACCTCAGGAAAGTCATAAAAAATAGTAGACTATGTTGTGCCAGGTGATCAGCATTGCAAAGGATAAATTGATGCCTCTCTCTCATATACTTAATTTCCCCATCTACATATCGTTAATGTGCCAGAGCTACACAACTGCAACCTACCTACACAACCTACCTATCTACTTACCATAAATGGATGTGATCAGAACATATGTCAGAGTAGTTTATGGGAAGATAATTCTCCATGCAACTGTTCTGGAGGATATGGTATTGTCATTCTAATCTACTTAGATGGGATAATTGCTTTAAAGTGACAGATTTCATAGGGCCCAGCAGGATGGAGGAGGTGGGCAAAATTGAGTGGCGTCTGGATTCTGGGGAAGCGGGTGACATCAGAGGAGGAGGTGAATTTTTTCCTCTACAGTCTAGATGCTTGTTGGAAACACGAGACATATAGGGGTTGTTAAGTAAGTGCAAAGCTGCAGGGGTCTCAGAAGCATAGACTCCTAAGTATTACCCGTTCCTAGTATCAATATCACATAACTGTTAAGTTACACAGCATTATATATCTAACTGTTCTTGAAAATCCACTGCTGGCTGTTTTAGGACATGTCTATGAGAGAGCATCAACTGTAGCATTTCTATTTTAAGGCTGGTAGTGTAAGAGTGAAGTTGTAGCTAAGATGGTCCCAAAATGATGCAAAAGGCAAGGATTTCTTAGGGTA